AGCTTGTAAGTCCATCTTCAGCCTATAACTGATTGGAATACTTAAAATGGCGTTAGAACTTGCCCAGTGAAGGAGGCTCCCTGCAGAACCTTTGCATTGCACAAGAACATAGGTGGAATTCTGATCCCCATCCAGAACTTTTTGAGGGGGACAATTCCACTTGAAAGGACAAGTAGACCAGTCTGGAGCAGTTAGAAGAACAAAAGATACTTCTTGAAAGAAAGACTGGCAAGAAAAATAAAAAACAATAACAGCAGTCCAACTGACTACTTCAAAAACAAACAAGTTGTTCCCCAAGGAGCCATCAAGGTAAGTGATCAGGTCCCCTCAAGGCAACCCCCCTTCCAAGACTGAAACTCAAATGGAATACATTAGCAGGCTTATGGTTCTGCTGCTGACCACGTTGGTTACCAATAAGGGGAACTGGAGGAAAAACAGCATTGAAGTTGTGAACTAAGTCCTACCACATTCAATAGACTCCTGTTAACCTGGATTGAGACCTGGTTAACCAGCAGTATGACGAGACCTGGGGATTCCTGGGTCCAGGGGCAGGGACACAGACCCAGAGGACTAGAATGGAGTGTGAAGCATCCAGCTGATATGAAGTGAGGAGAGATGCACAAGAACACCCACTCTTTCATATAGTACCCATTTGACCTGGCATCAATGACTGGATGATCAGAACATGACTAGAGGAAGAAAGAAGAGAGAGAGAGAGAGAGAGAGAGAGAGAGAGAGAGAGAGAGAGAGAGAGAGAAAAGGAGTAACCCACTACAAGCAGATGAACTTGACCTATGCTTATGGATGCAGTATGACAAAGGAGCAAACAAATCTCTACAGGGAGGACCATTCCCACTCCCTTGGTACACATGGTCAACAGTGATGGGGAACTTAGACATTGGCTACCCAAAATGGGGGAACTACAAAGGCAAGAAGTGACTGGCTTACAAGTTTTCAATAGGGAACCTAGCTCCAGAGGATACAGGGAAAGGTAGAACCTCCACTGAATTGCTTCCAACCTGTCTGGATGGGATTGATAAAAAGTGAGGGGAAAGGACTCCTGTGGTTCAATAGGGAATGATTGCTATCAGGTCTGACAGTGAGTGTTAGGAAGGTAAATGTAAATGTTTGGTTACAAAAGGAGGGGAGTGGCTGATTTTGCAGTCCAGGGGTAGAGATCCCTGGAACCATCAAGGGAGAAAAGTGAAGTGCGAGACCCTGTCCGTGGAGGCAGTGACACTAGAGATGGAGGCAGAGAGGATGATGTGGACAGGAGTGGCTGGAGACTCTGGACTCAGGGAGGGAGAGGGGTTGTATGCTGGTGGCCAGGGGGCAGGCGTGTGGGGTGTACCCTTTGGTTGTTTGATGACGCATGCAGGGGATTGTGATCATTGCAATAAAACAAAATACAATAGGATAAATGTAAAGATAATGTTCACCCATGTAAACCCACATAATTCACAATAAAAACTTTTTAAAAATCCAGTCTTTGAATTGGATTGTTGGTGTATTTTATGAATCCTAGAGATAATAGGAAAAAGAAAAAGATTTTCCTGATAAATAACTGAAATTAAATTTGCAATGACTGTATTTTTATGCAAATAACACAAATCTTCTACATTTGTTTGCCCACTGCTCCATACCTCTGGGATGCATTTTTATAAATGCACTATGCTAACATATTTTACAACAACATGTTAAAAAAACAAACAAACTGGCATAGTGGCACTTATGAAAATACCTCACTGAGAGAGGGGGTAGCTGGCAAACAAACATAGAAAGTGCGTATTATTTGTATAACAATACAGTGCTCTTAAAAAGTCCATATGATCAAATCATCTAATAATTACAATCTTTTTTGATTGTACATGCGCTATATCTGGGGTCCAGCAGTGTAAGTATGTTCAAATTTGACTATTGTAGCAGCTTCCTGTAGATCTTTACTGCCATCAGGATTTCTGATTTTAGTCTTTCCTTCACATATTGTCACATATTGGTACTTGGGTGTGATCTCCTAAAAAGAAAGAAAAAGAAACAACTATTTAAATTCATACATTCACCTTACTTCCTTGAAAAACCCCTCTAAAATTATAGCAAAAGGGTAAAATGACAATGAATATGTATGCCTTTTCCTCTCAAGATAAATACTGTACTATTTTATGGCTCACATCCTTGTTTTTTCTTATATTTGACCACCAATAACATGTGTTTCTAAACATTATAATTTAGTTTTGTCTGGCACTGAACATCATATTGATTGAATCTTATAAGATGGATTTCTTTTCTTCATATAGAATGGTTTGTTTTAGTTAACATTGTTAGTTTGTTGCCGCACATGAATCATACCTGTATTTTGTTCATTTTCATTATTCTGTTGGATAATGATTGTGTTGTATACTTACATTCAATAGTTAATGGACCACGATTTATACATTTTTTTGGTTGCTAGATAGTTGAATTTTTTTTTTCTTGGATACCATAAACAATGTTGCTATGAACATCATTATACATCATATGCACATACAGTTTGAATGAACATATATAGCAATGAAATTGCTGGATTGGAACCATATTCTACAGTGATTTTACCAATTATGCTTCCCTCAGAGTGGCATACAAGTCCTATTGCTTCATATCCTTGTCAACTCTTAGCATTGTCAGTCTTAAATCACTTGTGGTATGTTTACTTTCTATTTTCCCAATGACTAATGAATTGAGCATCTTTCCAAGTCTCTTGCCCTTTTTTATTTTTACTAAGTGTAATAGTTTAGGGTTGTGTGTCAACTTGACTAGGCCAGGATTTCCAGAAGTTTGATAGTTGAGTTGTGCTTATTCCCATGGTAATGAAACATAATATAGACATAGTTAACTCTGATGAGCAGCTTCCTTGGGGGTATGGCCTGCTTCCAATATAATGGACATGTGAGAGGGACTCTCTTGCTCTTACACTGGGGACTTGGGACTCTGCAATTATAAGCATTTCTTTGAAAATAAACATATATATATATGTTGTTGTTATGTGCCGTGGAGTCGGTTCCGACTCATAGCGACTCTGTACAGGGTTTCCGAGGCTGTAAATCTTTACGGGAGCAGAAAGCCTCATTTTTCTCCCGCGGAACAGCTGGTAGTTTCGAACTGCTGACCATGAGACTGGCACACCGATTTGTAACAACTATGCTACCAGAGCTATAGATACATACATATATATACATACATACATACACACACACACACACACATATATA